CTTTTGTTAATTCTCCGACTTATGCAATTTCTGGTTATCTTGCGAGAATTTTGTCGCCTGTTGTTGGGAATACTGATTACACTGTCAAAAATTCCTGCGAATTTACGGATTTCATAAGAGATAAAACTCTTGACGCCTGTGAAGAATTAGTATCTTTCGACGTTGTTTCGCTCTTCACTAAAATCCCAGTTGATCTTGCCGTTAAGGTTGCGGAGGAAAGACTCAGAGAAGATGCTTCCCTAGGACAAAGAACTTCTTTGCCTGTGGAGGATATTATTCATCTGCTGTCTTTTTGCCTCAAAACCACGCAACTTACATATAACGGCACATACTATCAACAAGTTTTTGTTACAGCTATGGGTTCGCCTGTTTCTGCTGTCATTGCTAACATGGTAATGGAAGACGTGGAACAAAGGGCCTTAGCCACTTCACCGGTTAAGCCCTTTTTCTGGAAACGATATGTCGATGATGTTATTTCTGCGGTATCCGGAAATGAAGCGGAGCGCCTCTTGTCGCATTTGAATTCAGTAGAGCCGTCGATCCAATTCACTCTTGAACGTGAAAAGGATAGACATTTGCCCTTTCTTGATTTAAATGTGTCCAGAGGGGTTCAGGGTTATTTAGAGACAAGTGTCTACCGTAAACCCACCCACACCGACAAATACCTCGCTTTCGATTCTCACCATCCTATTTGCCATAAGAAGTCTGTAGCCAAAACTTTACTTAGGAGGGCTGATTGTCTACCATCATCACTCGATTCGAAGGCTGAGGAGAGGAAATATGTTTCCAATGTCCTAAAGGCAAATGGCTATACAAAAACTTTTCTCGGTAACTGCCAAAAACCAGTTACAAATAGTAACGCTCTTGATGAAAGGGAACCAGCGACTGGTTTTGCTGTTATTCCTTACATACAGGGTGATACTGAACCCTCAAGAGAATTTTGAATAGCCACAACGTTAAAGTTGCTCAAAAACCTTTTCAGACTTTGGGGCATATTTTCGCCAAACCTAAGGATCCTGTCACGAAAGAACAACGAACCGACGCCATTTATTCTATTCCTTGCAATGACTGTGACAACGAATACATCGGACAGACCAAACGCCAGTTTGGTACACGGTTAAAAGAGCACCAAAAAGCGGTTTTTCTTTGCAAAAAGGAAAATTCAGCTTTATCGGAGCATACTTGCCTAACCAACCATACAATTGGGTGGGATAATTCTAAAATTATCACCACTAATCGGCGTTACCACCAGCGCCTTTGTTTGGAAGCTTGGCACATTAACTCCGCCCACGCTCCTTTAAATCGTGACGATGGCGGTCTGCTTCCTGACGCCTATTTACACCTCGTCAGAAAAAAAGGCCGCTAATTAGTGATCATATAAAAGGACCCCTTGTTGCAGCGTTTAGATCACCCCTGATGAAGGCACTAGACAGGAGTGTCGAAACGTTGGGTCTATGAATTGTAACTTCTTCGGTTACATTCATTAAATCTGCAAACCAGTGTAGCTTCAAACTATGTCTATTTTTTTAGTGTTTTAGCCGCCATAATGCGAGAAAGCTCCGACAAACAACTTCTATTGAGAATCGTGAAAGCTCTGCCGTTTATTCATCAACCTAACCGAGTGGCGCCAAAGGCGAGTGACGTGTAAGCAGCTGATTGGCTATATAAACACGTAAAAAATAAGATATTTTTTCACGCGTGTTTTTGCGGCTTTTCTCAGGGCCGGAAATCCTTGTATAACACCGCAGTTTTTGTGATAAAAAGATTTTGTTCGTAGCGGCTCAATAGAACTTATATGGGACAAGCACGCGCGCAACGTTATAAACGATTCTGGCGTATTGTTTTACTGACTCATTGTTTTCACGTTAATACACTTCAATGGACTAGTGATGTCTTAACAGAAAGTTGTTTGCCGTCGTTTCTTTTAATTTTGGCTATTTTCCCAAACCGAAGTTATAAGTCAAGCTCAATAGAGTATAATTTCAACTGATGCTGTCATCATACACTTCATCTGAAGAAGAAAACATTCCCTATCTTCTAGTATTTGCTCAAAACATGAAGCTGTTTAAAGATACCGCTGACTAACATGTGTGTTGATCACTTTGCAAGTTGTGAGAACATCGTCTGCAGGTTCCAGACCTCGTCTGATCTCTTATCCCTTTGAATAAGCTCTTCTTCAGCCTGTGCTGACGAGTTTTATTACAGTTTTTATTTAGAGTAATGAAGGGCTAGAAAATAAACTTACGAGAGCTTCGCTTTTAGGCTTGGCTAAATCTATATATTAATCGGGTTCTATCCGGTCCGATGCAGACGTGATTTCTCGTAGAATGTGTCTGTTAAAAGACAAAATTGGCATCTAGTAAGAATTTTCTGTATATGTGTTAACCTATTTTAGTGTTGGGAATATGAATAGAAATAGTTCATTAGCGTTATAAAAAGCAAAAAAAGTTATTATAAGCAAGTTGATCATTTCCTTTTCCTTTTGGCGGTCTTCTTATCCTTTTGGTGGTCTTATCTTACAAGTAGAATTTGTCACCTTTTCTTATTGTGGTCATGAATTTGACATGAAGACCGATGTTTCTACGTAAACTTAAAGTTGTGGTTGAACATTGGAATATTTCTATTACCTTGCGACAAGCTGCTTTAATTACAAAGAAAATGACTTTACCTCATAAAAAATCTACCTGCACAGTAATTTCCTTGAAAATTGCCCTTCTTACATTTTCAATCCCTTTGATATTCTCGGTTTTTGGTTAATTCCATGTCGAATTTCCGATTTAGAAAATATTTCTAAAATTTTAGTTTTTTCACGTTCAACATCTTTTTCTTTAAAGGTGACTAAAAGTATAAACAACAAGTACTTTTCATCCTCCGCACTGAATGTATAACCAGGTAACTTGTACGAAAAATTCTTAGCTCTTTTAGAGGTAGTACCTTGGGTACGTACTTTCTTCTCCGAATTTTTTGTTTATCCTGTCGTTATGTAACAGTCTTCGAAGGATATTAAAATGGTTCTAAAGAGAGCTGTAATTTTTTATTATTGTATCTGATACTTACACTATTCTTTTTATTACAGTGTTTATCACATTTGTAGGGCATGAGAAGTTCCTTTGGTGTGTATAGTTTATGCCCAGTAGAACTCAGCTACATTTAACTCAAATCCCAAGAGAAACAAAAATAGTTTGAGCTATTGGGGGTTTGAATAAGAACCCTGTTGATAATTACTAAGGAATCATGTTTTTACTTCTCTTGGGTGATGTTCTTGATTATTAACCTTCTCAGATCGCAGTATATGAGACTGTACCCCTATTCTTGCACAATCAACATTCATTTTGGTACATTTTGTTTCTTTGTAAGAGCTTTTAATCAAAACCTTTAGTTTGGGAAGTTAAGCCAAATGTAGCAAAGATTGGGCCGGACTTGTCGATTAGCTAATTGTTTCGACACTTTCACATTTATCGACTGACAGTTTTACTTCGAGTTATCAGAGTAAATTTGAGCCAAGGCAAAGTAAACGAAGTAACCAGGTTCGAATTAGTAGAGTTCTACTGTATTTCTTGATTAAAAATTTCAAAACCATGCAAAATAAAGTTGTTGTCTTCTATTTCTGACAATAAGATCACAGCTTTATTTCGAAATTGAGATCATTGCCATCTCAACCTAATATAAGACAAAGGCGAAGGTACATTCAAAGTAAAATTATATAAGGCCCGATTGTTAGAAACTTCCACCACAGCTACCAACAGGTAATTTCTGTTTAGTTCTCATTTTCTCATTTCATAGTATCTGCTGAAGTAATCAATGATGACTAAGACAGATTCTCCTGAAGGTAATGGGCCTAACAGGTCGATGGCCAAATCTTGCCATGGGCCACTTGGTAATGGGGTTGACTTGATTGGCTCTGGGTTTGCTGGGCTGCTTACAAGCTGACAGCTATGACAGGTTTTGCAAAACTTCTCGGCTTCCCTGTCGATTCCAGGCCATCAGACTTTTGATCGCAACCTCTACTTCATACTGAAAATTCCTGGGTGTCCTTCATGGGCAAAGCCTCAATACTCGGGGTCTCAGCTTGCTCGGTATGACAATCCCGGTACCACAAAGAATCAGCTTGCCAATAACACACAGTTCGCCGCATACCGGTATGTACTGCTTATGCTGATCACCTTTCCAGTTTCCATCCTTAATGTACTGACGCAGTTCCACAAACTCTCTGTCTTCTGATGAGGCTTCTTCAATTTCAGATGTTGTCTGTGGGTATGGGATAACGTTCTCTGATAATGGCTTTGTTAGCTCTTCGCATGTCCACACAAAGGCGTATTTCGTCATTCTGCTTTGGAATTACTACAAATGGACTAACCCACGGGGTCGGGCCCTCTAATGGTTCAATTATGTCCATAGCTATTAATTCTTCAATCTTCTCCTTAACCTTGTGTCGAGGACCAAATGGGGTGCGCCTGACTGGTTGCGCCACCGGGGGTACATCTGGATTCATATGAAACTTAACTTGGTAGTCTTTTAACTTTCCCATACCCTCAAAGATTTCTTTATAATCGGACACGATTGTCTCATTAGATGTCATGGTGCAGATCTGGTTCCTAATTTCAACATGCCTGGCTGTATGGCAGTTTCTCTTTCAGGCAGTGCCGTCTCTTCGCCATCAATAACAAAAAATTCGACTTCGGCTTCTTTTCTTCTTTCTTTTTTGTGATAAATAAATAAATATAAATTCCCTCTACTCTCGCTAGTGCTGGGAAGGTTCCTAGAACGTTCAGCGGTTGTTTACTGCCATACGCGTAAAGCTTCTTATCGCTCTTTCTCGACACACACTTAATCTTGCCTTGCTTTAACTTTAACCACAGATTTTTGTCAATCACATTGGTGCTCGCAACCCGAATCAATCAACATCGCAACTACAACTCCACCCACAGTTACATCTATTTTCTCAGGTGGCGTAGCAGAATTCACAGTAAATGCATATTCATCTTCATCTCTCTCACTTCTCACAAGCCTGACTGACGTCTTCGTTTTCCTTCTTTTTGTCTTCTCTTCCCGTCTAGGTTTGGGAGGTTTGGCTGTGTTCGTTTTACACTGCGAACCAAAATGGTCAGCCCCACCGCACTTATGGGAAGTTTTTCCTTTCGCGGGGCACTCAGCCGGTCTAGTCCAAAATGTCCTACTTGTTCACATCTGTAGCATGCTCGCTGAGCAGGCTCCTTCCCTTTGTCCTCCTGCTTGTCACGGACAAAATTCACACAATTTTTTTGCCTTCCATGTTTTCCAGTTGTGTCTGAACTCGCTCGTGATTTGCTGCCGTCGAAAGTAACAGCTCCAAGGTTGAGTTCTCACCTTTTTCCAGTAGTTTCTTCCTTAGTTCATGTGATTTACATTGCTGCACGACTTGATCACGAATCTGGTTACCGGCTTGGTCGCTGTAGTCACACTCCTCGACCACGTGTCTTAATCGTGTAACAAACTGAGCCACACAAATCTAATCTAAACGTCCGCCATGCTACTTTTAATAATCAACTCCCGACCTCCATTGCGTGCTTATCTATGTTATGTATGACACAGTGCTAAACAGAGATGCCTTTTTCCTTTTATCTTTTGCGTTTTAATATGTGCTATCATTTACTTGTATTGATGTTAATGGCTTACATCCAGGTGCCGAGAGGTCTTAATGGCTTACCTCCCCTAACATAAGCATCAAATGTTGTGTTAAGAAAATTTCCACTGTTTGTAGGGTACACTGTAGTCTTGCATTATACAGCTGTAGCTCCATACATGTACCAACATGACATTTGGTTGCAAGGCTCTCAGGGGTTCGCCTGTCAGGTTGTAAAAGCCAAAATAGTGCTTCAACTTTTTCCTGGTCGATAACTATCTGTGTGAGATCTTTTGAATAATTGCATGTATGATATTGATTCTTTTAATACATGTGGAATAGTAAGAAAGCAGAGCAGCAATTTAAACTTAGGGGTGTGTTGTTCAAAGCTGGGTTAAGATAAACCAGAGTTAGTGTGAAGTCTGATTTCAGATATAAAAGCTTTAAACTAAGGCTATTACACCAGTAACAACATCACTACACCAGAAGTAACATCAGTATGCACATCCTCCATACTGTTCTCTATAAATTTCCTGAGATGCTGGCCAGAAGCAGTACGTCTCTATATTGAAAAGAGAAGTTCTTTTAGTAGTCGAGCTAACGCTGAGCCGGTTCTGAAATTTAGCATTAACAGGACCAGCTGAACCATCTGCTTTAATGCTTATTAGCCCATCACAGTTGAGTTTTATGACACCAAGACTTAGACACGACGTCAGACTGTAGTTCCAATTCAGTATGACAGGAAATCTTTCATAAACCTGTTCATTTCCAAGGGGAGCACGTCAGCTGGATTTGATGTTGTCCTAAGCGGAGTAGGTTCATGCAACGTTACACTTTCGCCACCCGAAGGAGAATATTTTATATTGCAGTTATATTAAAACAATTTATGTTTTCGATTCGTCAAAACAAGAACAGCTTTCCTCTAATTTTGAATACTCTAAAAGGCATAGCAATCTGCAGCTCTCAATATACGAATGATCTAAACAAAGTACAAACCGAGAGCTGAACTGGAGGCCTTTAACAAGAAAGGGTTACAAGGTCACCCTTTCTTCCTTTAGCGGTCTCCGGCCAAAAGTAATTTCGCAAGAGGACACTTCAAACGGCCCATGAGGGCGAAAAATACCACAATTTATTGAGGTATTCGGACCGAGATGAAACATAGATATGCAATTTTCAGAGGGTTATTCATAACCCTCGCAGATTATGGTTGTCTCATGTCAACAATTATGAACCAAGAACGCATACTGTGGTCTGCCTGTGGTGCAGTTTCGGCAAAGAAATCTGGAATGGTAGGAACTAACAGCCTATGTTAGAGCAGAACTGGAAAACCTCGAAACCCGGTACATTGACTAATGGTTTTACAAACAGTCCGGAATTTATTGCAGCCTATCGATTTAAATTACTTAAAAGCCTAATGAAATTAGGGAAAATATGTCTTAATCCTATCATTTTGTGATGAATAAGTGTGGAATGAAGAATTTTCTTTCCATCTCGTCGGCTCCCGCTGATAAAAATATCAAATTATTTATATTTATTCATAAGGACATCTTTACATGTAGGTGGGGAACCCCAGGTAGATGAGGTTCCGCGCCTAGCCGTGGCCGCTTACACTTATACTAAAGGCGGCGCCTGAGAGATCGAAAGCACCAAGAAGCGGAAGTACCTCTGTGTTATAAGACTTCCTGGGCTGATGTCATAATTTACTATCTCTTTTGCTTGTAGATCGAGCCGTTCCGAAGCCGTTTAAAAAGTTTGGTTAGGCTTTCTGTACATTTTCTCGTTTCTCTCGTGAAACGCGAATGACCGTAATTTTGTGAGATTGCTGATCTGCTTGTAATTATTGTTAAATTATTTAGTTGTCAACTTCTCGATCGAATGCCATAATCGCTTGAACTTTGCACAGATAATTTAATTTTGCTTCATTGAAATGCAAGACTTAGAAAATGCACATTTTTAAAGGGACAACGTTTTATTATGACTTTCATTGTTAAAAATTCCAAGTGAAACAAAGGAATCAGAATCTCAGTACTCTGTAACTATGTCGGAGGATGATTAAAATCGATAGAAACTGAGTGAACCCTTTCATTTCTTAATTGTTTTTCTTTAATTGTAAAAAATAACTAGGTCATTATAGAACCATAACAACCATTAAGAAAGCTTCATAAAAGCTAAGATTTTGTGATGAAATTGAACAGTATGTGGCGAAAATTTTACTTTTCGTAATGAACACCTTCTAAACATGGCTAAACCGCTGGTTAAAAAAATGTGACAATTTCCCCTGTCGGCCCTCCTTGATCAATAAAGAAATTTTTTTACGACAAAAAGATTCATTCACTAAATTTCAAAATATAACGAAAGGGACAGCAGATGCAACATTGACATATTTTTTGTGTGGATTCGTAGGACATTTTAAAATAAAATACATGTTTTGTGTAAAGGCTTATAAAAAGTCTCTAACGCAAGAAGGGGGGATGGGAATTTGGGTCGCAACTTTTAAATTGGTCAATACAAAAGTGTTAGTATTTCCAAGACTAAAAGTATAAAAATATATAAGAATATATGAAAGCTACACTTTGTCTCCATTCACTGTCAAACAGTTTGTTTCAAAGAGTTACTTAATCAGCAAAAAATAAGGGTAAAGGTGAAATATAAATGGAAAATAGAAGATGATGCACTGCGCTGCAATATTCATTACTCCATCCTTTCCTGTGTGAGAAATCACTCGCTTACACGGCAAGATCGTCAACGTTAACGTAGAGTCGATCATCGTAATTTTTTAAGTTTATCAGCCCCTGTTAAAAAAAGAGACATACGATAAAATATGAAAAATGGGTATAAATTATACTTTACTCTGTTAAGCTTTCGAGGGTTTCTTCATTTTTTTTACCTAGAAAGAGAGTGTATTGCTGATACAATTAATTTTGGATAGAATAGCTTGAAATGGATTGTTAAAAAACCAACTAACCCTAACCATAGAAAGACTAAACCCAAAATATTCACAACAATCAATCAGAGCAAAGGTTAACGTCAATATTAACTAATGAGAACTCAAGCAACCTCCTTAAAGCGCGGAAAAACGTCTGTGATCAAGCTAGGGTTAGTTTTAGTTTGTTTTAATTTTCGATTTCTACTTTCGAAACTCAATTGAAAACTGCTCCAAAAACGAAATAAATTGAAACCATAAACTACGCTTCCTAGCTTTCATAGTGACGCTGTTATCAAATTAAGTTGATGGTGGTAGATTCTAACAATCAAACCTTATAAAGGAAAAGAAAAACACAGAGAGTCTCTTTGTAAACTCTGTAATTCTACCTTGTGCTGGTTTTCCATTTCTTTGAGTTTTTTTCTCAACTTCTCAAAAGATGGTCTCAAGTTAGGGTCGTCTTTCCAACATTTTGTCATTAAGTCATACCTAAAAGGACGTCAAAAAAAAGTTTAATTAGAAACGGTTCGACCTCGACGAAGTTTTTTAGTCTAGAACTTCCAACTTTGATAATAAAGGACAAAAGATTTATGCAAGAGATATCAACTCGCAATGGTGTACTTCTTCTTTCACTTCCCTTCGTTAGGCTGGCTCAACTTGTAAAGCTATCTTAAGGCTCAGATGCAACTCGACCAAATACTAACGTACCATAAAAGCCATCAAGGAACAATGATAAGATACTATCATACAACTTAGCATCCACATGTTGTGGTTTAGGCATTCTGTATCCCTCTTGAAGTAAGTTTGCAATTTTTCTTCCATCTATCCTTGGATACGGTGAACCACCTGAATAGAGCAGGTAATGTTAATGTATTCTAAAATAAAAAACTCTAGAGATCTATTTCTTTTGACAATTTTTTTTCCGGCTAGGGCCAGTGACCTAGGTAATCTAAACTGGCTTGGTATGACCAAAAACCATTTCTACAGAGACTGGTAAACCTTGATTACTACATGACTTCGTGTCCCCCCAATTGCTGAGGCTAAAATGACTCGACTGGTAATCTGTCTAGTGACTTACCAATCGTGAAAATCTCATAGAGGAGAACTCCGTAACTCCACCTGTAAAACAAACGGGATAAATTTAAGGAAGCATAATTTCTTCCTTGCGAAAAGTGTAGTTAATACATCTTTGGTGGCGAAGGGAAGGGGGAATGGGGTGGGGAGGAACACAGTGAACAGGTCATAGGAGTTGATTCCTGGTCACTACCTATGAAAAATGAAGATAACCATTCCTCACTGAGATGACCTCACACCAGCAAAATTAAAAGACCACAATAGATAAGTAAGCAAATAACTTTTTGCAGATCTGAAAACAGTTCATACAAAACGATTCTCATAAAGCTCAACTGCAGTGTTCGTGTCTCTCTTGTACTCACACATCACTCTTGGTAGAATATTTTCCGTAAAGCAGCGCCTCAATGGCAGTCCATTTTACAGGGAGACGCCCCTGAATATGAAGCAAAAATGTAAGGAGTTGGCGTAGTCCTTAAAAAGTATTAATACTTCAAATGGCCAGAACACTGTTACGAAAGTTCCTGAAAACCTTAAACGATTTACTGAGCTTGTTTTCTTTGAGCAATCACTCCAGTGAGGCATCTTCAGGCTTACTAAAACATTATATGTTTTCTTAAAAACATTCATACCCCAGTTTTTCTTTCGTAAATATTGTCCTCTTGCACATCTCTGGCCATTCCAAAGTCCGTCACTTTGCAAGTTTCCTCCTCTCCAACTAGCACATTACGAGCTGCAAGATCTCTATGAATAATCTTGAACAAAGAAAAAACGTTTCTCTTGGAAAGCACCCTTTCACGAAAAAAGAGACTTAAGGGACTGACTCAGCTGACATGGGATGACATCTTAGGCAGCGAGTCCACGATTCAATGTAAAGTAAGGTTATTGAGTGACAAATGAGGCCTTGTTCTGTAAGGACGTCATTCAAATAATAATTACAACACTCACGGATATCGATGACAAATAGGACATTCCATCTGCGATTTGCCAAGCAAACTTCATCAGCTGCTGTGAGGTCAGATTTGTTTGTGGTTTGATATCCGGGTCTCTGTAGTAAGTATCATTTAATCCACGGCTCTTTCGCAGGTAACCCAGCAGATCCCCAAAAGGAACATATTCTATCAGCACAAACAGTGGCTCTAGGGAGACAAAGACAGTTTCGCAAATACTCGTTTATATGCCCCAATAAACGTCACTCTCCAATAAACGCCAAAGCCACTTGAAAGAGTTCGACATTTATTCAACGTTTATAAGAAAATACAATATTCACTACTGTACGATTCAATAATTCACAATTCTTGTAAATCTATTTTAGAACAAAGTAACCATAAGTTTATAAACTCGGAAAATCAATTGTAAAGGGGTAAAAAGTCAATGCCACAGAACTGACATCGTATAAAAATTTTGTGTAAAGGAGGTCATGTTTTATCTTAATCGTTACAACCAAAAAGATTCCCTCCCTTAAGCACGCAGTTTTGGTCTTGGCTCATTTCTGGTCCACCAGAAAATTTTGTTGATCTTAGATCTCACTTATTGATAATACATACGCTGCTATTCAGCAGATGGTATAAAACTCTGTCTACTTCTTTGCTGTCAAATAAACTCCATCGAGACCTCACACGTGCACGCAAGAATAGAATATGCCCAAGCTTTAAGCGTCGGTCAGCCGCTTCTCCCAAAAGTTAACAGAAATGGAAATAATAGCTGATGGAATGATAGGGCGAATTAAATGGACTATACCCTTAAACAAAGACCCCCTCAAAAACAATAAAAACGTACTAAACGCCGCGGGGATCAACCGAGTAGATAAGTATCCTACAAGTGACATTTTACGTATTGATCTCAAGACAATTACTTTAGCTTAGACTAAGAGGGCCGCGTAGACCTCTGGGTGTGAGGCACACGAATAGTAGGGTCGCTTCTTGGCGTACCCATAACTTCCCGTCTCAAATTTGTTTCACCGATTTTTCTTTGACTTCTCGGAAAAAGGATGTAGTATTCGTAGTCTCCCATTAACTGAAGATCGCTTTTAAAGGCTATCAGTCGTTTCTTACACAGCCCGGTCGACTTGTACCCAGTCAGTTGGGTTGTTTCATACCCAAATTAATAAAGTATGTTTTATATGTTAAGCATCTTTAAAGTAACGTTGGTCTCATATTTGAAATAGCAATATTTCCTGCTTTATATACGTTTTTTTTCCGTGGCGTCCATTTTTATATGTGCAACTAGCGAATAAGTGAAGAATAAGTGAATTTATTACCTTTAATAACAAGGATGGAAAAAAATCACTCTTACACTTATTGTTAACAAAGTCACTTAGCCGTTATTGCTAACAAAGTCACAAGTGTTAACAATAGACTATTAAATTTTAAAAAAATGATACTTACCTTGCACAAGGCAATAATCAAATTATTTATCTTAAGAAGGTCACAAGTACGCAAAACGGAATTTTGCTTAAATCTTACTCGCTTGACTCTACTTACTTGTCGTTCGCAACAACGAAGATCTGTCCACGCACTCGCGCGTGAATTATTTCTGATACAAACCGACTCAAACTGAGTACAAATGGACTAAATTTGGGTACGAAACGACTGTGCGTACAACACGACTGGATACCCTTTTGAGGAGCAAGATGTAGAGTAACGTACTCACTAAGCGCCCCCTCTCTAATAAGCTCCCCTCGAATTTGTTTTTTTCTAAAAAAGCTCCCGTGTTCTAATAAGGGCCCTTATTGCATAAGCAGTCTCATAACAATGAGCACCCCTATTCTGTTTCAGTTATAGCACTGTTAGAGTACATGTACATTGAGTTCAACCGTGGTTCATCTTCGTTTTATTGTTCACATATGGCTTCATTGTAAGAACAGTGGCCTTCGTCTCAGTCTCTCAACTATTACGTCCATGT